GGCCCGGCCGCCGCCCGACGAGCCCGCGCCGCTGCTCGGAGACGAGGAACCTGCCGGTGCCCAGCAGGCGGACCCCGCCCCTCTCTCGGTGAGTTCCTTTGAAGCCGAGTTTTTCGGCGACGTTTCCTTCTGCTTCTCTCTTGCTCTTTCACCCCGTGATCTGTGTTACACATAGGGAGGATCTAGACGTCTTTTCGTTGCCCAGGTTTACATGTGGTGGAGGCAGAAGCGGGGAATCTGCTTCTTACTGGAAGTTCATCTATAATTTTTATTACGTCATTACTGTTTCTCACGTTGTTCACTGGCACAGTTTTTCCTGGGGAACAGCTTGGCCTTTGCCTTTAGAATCTTGGTATTTCTTATTTGAACTGCAGGTGGCAAACCTGTTTGCGTATTATGAGGGTAAAAAAAAAAATAGTATGCATTTTAGGGTTTTTCTGTCCATTTGCAGTATTACACAATATGACTTTCTTTCTTACTGGGGAAAGTAAGTATTGGGAGCCTTGGTATTGTACTTCTCTTAGCTTGCAGGTCGATATGATGTATTTTACTAATCGCTTAAAGATGTACTGGTTATAAATGTGACAGTGACAGCTTTGGGAGGAACAAAAGCATTGTTAGTTCCTGTGGCAGGAAGAATGTGACAAGGATACATGGGAGTTGTAGTTTTCTGGGTTCTCACGCTTGCTCAAGCAATACTTGATTGTCATTGGTGGAGAGATCATGTGACATGTTTAAGCGCTGTATTTAAACCTAAGTGTTTTGAAACAAACCTCAGTTCTGCTCTGGCATTCGTGTCTGAGTGGGGTTCATGCTAAAACAACACCTCAAGTTCCCTACTCAATACCTGTGCTGGAACCTTGAAGAGTATGTTCTGACTAGTTCATTTCTGCAGGTGTTAACATTTGCCTTGCTCATTGTGAGGATCCAACTTTGGGCCTTTACATCTGATAGTATCTTATCAGCTCTGCTGAGGTTGTTGCCGAATTGCCCTGGGGGTGAAGAAGGATGGTGGTGTCCTTGAGCTGATACTTTGATGACAGGGGTTTTATAACACTTATGGACTTGAGAACGTATTACATTTCTTAGAGTAGTGATGAGCAAAGAAATGTCTTTCATGCGTGAATGTTTTGACCTTTGTTCTTCTCTAAGGAGAAACTGTGAGTGCGACTTTTGTCTCCATGATGCCTGTTTGCAAACGCAGCTTTTTTGTTGTGTAATGTTTGGACAAAGGGAAAAAGTTGTGGATTCTTCAGTTTGCTTTCCTATTGCACACTGTTCCCAGTGGCTGGTTGTTAAATTCTACTTTGCTTGTTGTGAATAGGTAAAGGTGGGTCCGTGTGTGTCTGAAAATGTCACTAGAATCAGAGCTCTTGCTATCCACATACTCAGGATGTAAAGTCAGTGCAAGATCAGCCAGAGACTGGCCCAAAGCAGGGAAAGGGAGTTGTATGGTCCACCTGTGTGGCTGTGCTATCATGTTGGCAAGTGCCAAGGCCTGTGCCACTTACACCAGGTGCCTGCATCTGGGAAGGAGAGGACAATCCTGTGATGATTTTGCCTACCAGTAATACCCATGGAAGTGCAAACATGCTTCAGAGATTCTGTGTCTAAGAGCTGCTGCATGAAACATCATTTTTCCATCTACATTTCGCTGTATGACTGTGATGCAGAATTCCATGGTGGTTGTACTAAACTTTTCCCAGCCTTGATCAACCTGCAGATATTATTAAATGGTCTTGCCCATATGAAGTATCAGCCAAGGTTATGTCCTGTAATGTGTGAGTGAAGGCTGTGGCTGCAGAGCAATGCGGATGAGAGGCTGGCTTACTGCTGAGAAAACTGGAGGATGAATGTGGTTTTGGCTGAGCAGTGGTTTGATGTTGTGCCTGGTGCCAAGGCCTGTGCCATCTTTTCTGTGACCCTGGTTTCCCTGTCCTGAAAGGCAGGGACAGTCCTCTGATAATAGAGCATTTTTGCAATAGCTCTGCATTTAGAGAGATGATTCATGGATAGGTGTTGTGAATGAGGGATTTACATTGCTTAAAGAATCCCCTTCAGAGGTGTTATCAAAAGTGGGTTTAATATGATGTTGTAGACTGGTGGGAATGGAGGGGATGGGAGGGTATTTTGGTCATGAATTTACTTGTTATTTGAAGTAGTTGTGAGCAATTTACTCATTGAATCCTGTCTTTTCTGATAGAGCTCTTCCTGAGACTGCTGGTTTGGGGAGGTAGACATGAAGTTTGCATTAACTTTTGCAGAGTCACATATCTTCCAAAATGCCCATGTGCTGAGGAAGAATGGTGGTGTCTTTGAGTTGATTCTGAAGTCTGACACTCCAATTCAGCCATGTTTAGCTTATGCCCACTAGAACATTTTTGGGTCCTATGCATGTGTCTGTATTATGATCTTTGTTGTCCCTAAGGAGAGTCTTTCAATGATGTCTGTCTTGAAAGGTAGCTTTTCCCATTTCTTGTTCTCCAAAGAAATCCCCTGGAGAACTGTGCCTCTGAATACTAGATCCTCCTCCTGTGTACCTGCTCCATTTGACAGAGCCTGACATATTAGGCTATGATTCCTTCACTTCCCTGGGTTTGTCATTCTTTCCTTGTTCTAAAACAGGGCCTCAGTTTGGATGATAGTCCTTGAAAACAGGCCTGCTTAAATTAACAGTTTGTACTCCTGTCTTGAGGGGGTTTAGCTGCAAAGACAAAGACTTGGATATACTGCTGGTTCCCTAAGGTATTGCTGAATTTCACCTGAATGTCACTTGCTTTTTCACTTGTGTTTGACATATGGCCAGGAGTTGGATTTGTCCATGGTGCAAACAAAAGCTATGAATGTAGAGCAAAGATGGTGAGAGGCTGAATTCCTGTTAGGCAGTTAGGTGAATTCATGAGTTTTTGGCTGAGCAATAGTTTGATTTCATGGTGTGTCAAGGCCTGTGCCATTTTTTCTGTGATCCTGGTTTGCCTGTTTTCAAAGGCAATGGTAGAGCTCTGAAAACAGAGCTTTTGTCCACTCCCTCTGCATGTAGAAGGGTGACACATGGTTAGATGTCATTAATGAATGATTTAGTTTACTTAAGGAACCCCATTCAGAGGTATTATCAGAAATGATTTAATGTGAAGTTGTTGCAGTGTGTAACAAAGTTTGATGTCAAGGTTCACTCTATTACTTACTATGTGGCTGAAACACGTAAAGGACCTTTACTGAATTAATCCTCTGACTTCCTAAACCCCTGTTGGAACTTTGATGCATCCAGGTCCTATCTTAGTCTTAGGTGTGGACTCTGGTGTATCTCTAATAGAATTAGCTACATGGATTTCATTAGTATTGACTGAGATGTCCTCCTGGTGAGTTTGTCTGAGAACGCTCTTAATGCTTCCTTGCATTGCTCGTCTCATTTTTTCTTTCCCCTCCCCTTACGTACATTTAATTATAAGTATATTTACCAAGGCCTTGTTCTTCAGTGCCTCTGCTGTCATGTTATAGCTGGTGTGGAAGGCAGGAGATGTGAGTGGCACAGCTTTGCATTCCAGTTCTCCTGTAAGTCAACAGCTGTCAATGGGACTTCAGCATAAGTGACATTTTTGTGGACCAGTGTGTGTGATAGAAGAGGGGAAGATATTTCCCTAAGTGCAGAGTTCAATGACCCAGTCTCTGCTGGATGACCACTCCTCTTGTAGTTTGTCTCTTTATCAGTCCTGTACTATTTGTGCAATTATATATCTTCTCAGAATGGTGGTGAGCAAGCAAATGTGTTTCTTTCCTCTGTATGATCATTATTCGCTACCTTCTCCTGTGATATTTTTGCAGAGTTGAATAGGGCTTTAGAGGGGTCAGAATGATGACATATTTGTAGAATAGTTTTTAATTCCTATGTCAAACTTCCTTTATTTATCTGGATTTTCCTCTCACTTTTAGATGGAGAGTATCATCCAAGTCAATATTCCATTTTCCCACCCTTGATCTTCCTTCAGGCTTTGTTTCCTGCTGTATTATGCTTCACATTTTCCACTTGCAGATTGTTCTATCCCACTGGTAGCTGTGA